ACACATTTTCAAAACATTTGATTCAGGAAATTCTGCATCTTTTAAAGCAAGGATGTTAACAATCCTCCTGAGAACTTTAAAATATAATGATTTAAACATAAGGTAAAGGAGCCCTGAAATGATCAGAGAAATCATCAAGAGGCCTCCCTGTTGAAGAGTTCAGTTTTTTCATTTTGTCTTCTATTTTTTAAAGACCACAAGGAGGATGTTGAATGTACTATCAAGGGGAAGTCCTATCATTTTGAGGAGAAATTTATGAGATGCTTGGGAAATTCATAATTCTCAAGGTAGTGAAAGCAAAAACAAAAATAAGGAAATTTGAATTTCTAAAATTTATATCCTCTAGATCCATTCACTGATCTGTCAAATATGTTACATTCTAAGACATTATAATGAGTGCATTTATTACATATAAATAAACATAATGCACACCTGGGTGAGGAAATGGCCAAATCTTGCTTATTTTTGGTCATGGGTATTTGGTGGAAGGGAAGTTACTATGCACAAAATAAATTCAGAGACAACTGGCTGTTTTTTTACATCAATATTTTTAAGCTAACCCACCTTCAAAACTTAAAACCACAAATATGAACATAATAATATTACCTGACTTTAATGTTCCTGACTTTTCTTTGCCAGCCCATCTTTTTTTTTTTTTAAGATTATTTATTTATTTATTTATTTGACAGGCAGAGATCACAAGCAGGCAGAGAGGCAGGCAGAGAGAGGAAGGGAAGCAGGCTCCCTGCTGTGCAGAGAGCCCGACGCGGGGCTCGATCCCAGGACCCTGGGATCATGACCCGAGCCGAAGGCAGCGGCCTAACCCACTGAGCCACCCAGGCGCCCCTGCCAGCCCACCATCTTATTAGGTAAAATATTAGATGAAATATCTTATTAGGTAAAATATCTTATTTGATATATTATATTGTATATAATAGTTATATTGTATATAATAGTACTCACTATTTTGTGTATCAATCAATAGTGATTATACATAATAGTGGACAAATATAAACTCCATTGATATTTGAGATTTTTTTTATCCACTCACTTAGCTATTCATTCAACAAAATTTATTGGGCACTTACTATATGCAAAGCACAGTGCTTGGAGTCATAGTGATATGAAGATACAGACCCTGTCCCTGAGGCATTTATGTTTTATTATAGAGACAGAACATGCACATAAATAGCAGCTAGAAGAAGTAAAGGCATGAATGAAGAACAGTTAGGATGAAGCACTGAGTGTCAGAAGAGGAATTCAGGGAGATAAAGCTGAAAGGGAAAGATGGGGTCAGCTGCGGAGCTTTTATTTTCAGAGTAAAGAATTCAGATTCAGACTTTAATAAGAAGGTAATAGGGAGACACTGAAGTTTTTTTAACTTTTAATTTTTTAGACTTATGGAAGAGCTTCACAGATAATACAAAGACTTCCCAAAAAGCATTCAATATCATCTTTGTTGTTTAATGTAATTGTTTATGTAGTATTCTTACATCATACACCCATGATTGCATTCCTCTTATCATGCTTAGTGTAGTATATGCTTTGCATTTTTTCTTACTCAGAAATGCCAAAGATTTTTCTTTCTTACTCATCTTCTTTAAAAAATAGTTTGGTTTTGTTGACTGGGTTTGCCAGTTTTTGCCCTTTTACATTAAGATCTTCCATATCTTATGTATACACTCAATCTACATTAAAATAAAATTAAAAACTAAAAACCAAACCAGAGATCAATTGTAAATCCAGTATCAAAAAAAAGCACCTTGATCCATCTTTTATGCAGAGAGTTGTCCCTAAGTTCCTAATAGCCATGGAGCCCTGTGATTCTTTCATCATGATCTTGTTTGGAATATGGTGGGCCAATTCAATATGAAAATTTGTGCTTTTCTTTAACTCAAGAAAATTGTTTCTGTTGGGCTGCCTTGGTTGCTCAGTCAGTTAAGTGTCCAGTTTCGGCTCAGACCATGATCTGAGATTGTGAGATTGAGCCCTCCCTGGGTCTCTGAGCTCAGTGGGGAGTCTGCTTGAGATTCTCTCCCTCCCTCTCTGACCCTCCCCAGACTCATGCTCTCTCTCCCTCACCCCACCTCAAATAGATAAAGGAAGGAAGGAAGGAAGGAAGGAAGGAGGAAAGAAAGAAAGAAAGAAAGAAAGAAAGAAAGGAAGGAAGGAAGGAAGGAAGGAAGGAAGAAAGAAAGAAAGAAAGAAAGAAAGAAAGAAAGAAAGAAAGAAAGAAAGAAAGAAAGAAAATAAATTTGGGGGGAGAAAAGAAAATTGCTTCCGTTACTTATTTCCACCCCTCTATTTCCTTTGTCTCTTTCTGGAACTCTTGTTGATGTTTACCTCCAGGATTTATACTCATGCCTCCTGTATGATTTTTTCCCCATCTCTTTGTCTTTTTGCTCTATGTTCTAAAAGAATTACTTTATTATTTATGTTTTATTCTGTCATCCTTCACTAATTTGGCTGTGACCTATGTCCACTCATCTATTCACTCTTTTATTTTTATTGTTCTATTTTGGCAATCATATTTTAAATTTCTTGTTCCCTGATTGCTCCTTTTTTCATAGCTGTTTTAGGGATAAATATCTTCCCACAATTTTCTGAGGATACTCACTGGAATCTTCTCTTATGTCATCTATGGCTTGAATTATTTATATCCTTTTGTTTGTTTAACTTGACCTTTCTCTTTTGTTTTTGGTTTTCTTCAAATGTTTGGTGGTCTTTAGTCCATTAACATTCATGGACAAAGAGATTCATTCAGTTGGCTGGCAAGACCTTGCTCTGTGTCTGTGCTCTGTTTCCCTAGAAGGTCTACCTTGAATGGGAAGTCTGATGGAAGCTCTATATGAGTAGGCTGATTTCACCTTAGAATGCTTGATGATGGACCTGCAGGCTCACATGGGTTAGGAAATCCCTTCCTCAGTTGCTGCTTTCTTCCCCCTCTCCAGCCCCTCATCCTTGTCTGTCTGTGGTTATATTAAGCTCTGTGTTTTTGTGGGGGTTTTTTGGCTTTTTTTAAAAGACTGTATTTATTTATTTATTTGAGAGGGGAGGGGGTCATGGGTAGTGGGAGGGACAGAGGGAGAGGAAGACAATCTCAAGCAGACTCTGCTGAGGGCAGAGCTGGATGCAGGGCTTAATCTCACAACCTTGAGATCATGACTTGTGCCGAAACTAAGCTGGACATGCTTAATTAACTGAGTTACCCAGGAGCACCTATTAAGCTCTGTTTTGAGGCTTCTAGACCCACTTTCAAATCACCCTCATCAGGCAATTCATTGTCACTAGACAGAGGGGAAACAGAGGTCCACTGTTGACCAATGTTCAGGGTAGGAGAAAGCAAGACTTTGGAGGCTGTCTGGGCCAGAAATTTTGAAAATAGTTCTTTAATTGGCCTTAAAATAACCCCCATGCTACTGCCAGAATAATCTTTCTGAAACGTATTTGACTATATTAGCCTCCCACTCAGAACCCTTCGGAGGTCCTAATTTTATATGGAATAAAACCTGTTCTTCCTTGCATTCCTTCCTTGCAGAGCATAAAGACCCATTATGGTTTGGTATGAGTGCCTAACTCATCATCTCCTACCACTTCCCTGCCACAGACGCACTCAGGCTTCCCAAATTCTGAAAGTGCTTGTGGTTTTCTCTTGCTCCAGGCGGGCCTTTTCACATACTGCTCCCTATGCTAGGAATGTCATGTAGTGACTGGCAAAGATACCCTCAACTGCATATTTCAGCTTGTGTTTGCACTCCCCATGAATCCTTTGACTTATCTGGATCAGACATAGGTTTGTGGGTCTATTTATTAAACTATAGTCTCCCTTCACTTCATAAAGGTTTGAAATAACATGTAATAGATACACAGTAACAGGATAAAATAAATGAGTGAGGCACGGCTAGGTTCAAAGGGAGAGTAAAGGTAGAAATATAAATAATATCAAGTATGACATTAGTCCAAAAAATTACATGACTTTAAGTTTTGTAGACTTACACTACCAAGAGATACACTGGAAATTTGCCTCTTGTCAAAGTTTTGAGGGACACTTGAATGCTTGTTGAGCATATTGTCCATACTGAAAGTTATTGAAAATTGAGAGACAGTTTACTACACTAAAGGAGTACTCATAAACTGAGAAGTTTCTTCTTTATGCATTCATCAAACCCCAAATATAACCCTATTTAATTACTATAATTTTTTTGCACACTGATTTCCTCAAGGTATGGACTATATCCTCATTACTTGGCCCAATGCTTGATATTTCCTAGTCACTGAACAAATATTTGTTATATACACTGGACAATCAGGTGTTGATGGTCATCATTACCCTTATCATAGACATAATAAAGCTTTCACCAACTAGAAGGGTCTTTATAATAATCATAAAAAATAATTGGAATACCTAGCATGTGTCAGATATCTCATGCATATCTCATGACTCTCAACCAACACCATGGATATAATTCCCCATTTCAAAGTCAGGGAAATCAAGAAGTTAAGTAAGTGTCCCAAGAATATACAGTTATTCAGAGGCAGAACTTGGGCTTAGCACAGGTGCCTGAACCCAAAACTGGTAAGTCTCAACCTTTGCTGTTGGTTCATGCTTTGCTGTATAGTAGATTGATTAGGACTTGATTCAAAATTCATGAAAGTGGAGACTTCCTAGTGATGGAAGGGCCCTGATGGAAGGACTTTATAGAAGTTTGCTTTTATGGTTTATTTCAAAATATTTTGGAGGAAGGCAGCAGCTATCAGGCAAATAAAATGATATAAAATTAATTTTCCATAAAGAAATATCAGGGGACACTCTAATATAAAACACTTGCATTTTTAAAAAATTGGAACACCCGGCCAACTTTCCTGGGTATATAATGGAATGCAATACAACTTTCTTTTCACTACAACCAAGAAAGCTGATAATGTTACCATTTTATTAAAGGACTTACTCTATTTTAACCCAATTAACTTTTACTGACCAATTTATGGTTGTTTCTTACCTGAAAGTTGCCAAAACAGCTTCCCCCTGGGAGGGTCACATAACTCACAAAGGGAGGTCCTGGAGACGGCAGTGACTCATAGACCACCACGCCTTCACTTGGGAATGCAGCTCTCTGCTGCTGCTTGCTTTCCCAAAATTCCTGTAACATTGACACAACATTCACTGAAAAACATAAAAAAAAAAATCAGTTATTAAGGATGGATGTATTCTGGCAAAAGCAAAATTTTATTTGCAGGCTGGATTGTGTAACATGTCATTTCCAGTTTAAGCAGAACAGAGTATATTTGTATATGGCGGGGGAGAGAGTGCTTTCAGTTGTGAAAGGAGCAAATCCTGTTTAACGCAAATGTGTTTATTTCTTCTCGAGTATGGCTCAAGTGGTTTGGTATCCTAATTCTAACAATATTGCAATATGTTAAACTTACTTTATAGATTAATTTTTAATATCAAAAGTTTAAAAATCTCACTCTTCCTTCTTTGAAAATTTGCCTCAATAAAGTTTAGAGCTATGGTTATCCATGGCTCCTGCTCCTGTTTCTCATAGATTCTTGAACCTGCCAAGTGAAAGCCAAATTTGGAGGTAAAGGTATAAACAATGTAATTTTAATTGGGGCCCACCTATTATAAGGTTTAAGAGGCGAAAAGCAGAAAGAAGAAAACTCTCATGCTCCTCTCCATGCCAATCTAAAGGAGAATGAAAGGCAATTGTGTAATAAGCAGGAGGCTGGAAAAAGCCATAAGTGAAACTAATAACATGGAGACCTTGTTAAGGACCACGTCTGTTAGATGACTTCAGAAAACAGACTAATGGCTATAGCCATGTGGTTTAGATTAAATGACCTGTGATAGCCTGCAGAAGTTTCAGATCAAATTTGGTTGGTTTGTTTATCCTGTACTGCAAATTGAATTGTGGAAATTAACAAGGATAATAGAATTGTAGCGTCAAAAGAGATCTTTCAGGTCATTTAGGCAAAGCTCTGCCTAATGTAGGAATTCCTTACACAACTCTATTGACAGCTGCCTATCTGTTTTGTGCCTGAACAAATGGAAGGACCTGGTACTTGGCACACCTTGAGGCAGCCCATTTCAACTCCTAATGGTTCTACCTGTTGTGAAAAGATCCTTCTTGGGAGTAAGCTGAAATCTGCTTTCCCGTGAAGTTCATGCAAGTGGTCTATTTTTCATTTCTGGGGTCTCACAGAAGTTTATACCCTTATCCACATGAGAGTCCACTGCATGCACAAAGGTAATATAAGGACATCTGTGTTTTTGCCTGCCTAGGAACAGCACAAAGGTTTTCCTTAAACAATAGTCTTTCCTTCAACCATGTCTTCTCTGGGGTTGATGGATGGGGATTTGACCAAAGACAAATCATTTAGAACCAATGAATGAGTCCAGGACTTCTGCTGGAAATGTTGGAAGATGAGATTCTCCCTTTTCGCTAGGGTTGCTGGGGTAATAGGAGATAAGTGCGACACAGCCGAAGCAGGGGGAAAACTTGGCTGAGAAGAAAGCCTACAGAGAGAAGGGTAGAACCAACGGATGTAGAAAGAAAGATTAAGTTCTGCTGACACTCTTTGAGCCCTTGAGGCAACACATCTATCTACCTTTTTCTTAAATCATTTTGAACTGGTGTCTCTCACTTGTATATGAAAGTATACCAAAACAGAGAACTCCCAGGCTTCCTCAAGTTCTCCATTAAATCATTTTTTTTTTCTTCCAGTCTTTGTATAACATGTTGTCTCTGCCCTTGGGCACCCTCCTAAACACATTCCTAACTGTGCTTCAAAATGTGGGCTTTGATATTTTTCAGGTGTCAAGAAAGTCACAGAGTTTGACCTGGAGGCAAAAATAATGCACAACCACTTTCTAAGCTGTTTACTAGAGCACCTGCCTCCTTTACCTCATCCCTAGGACACAGATCAGCTTCACCGTGTATAGTTCAGGCAAATTCTCAAGATGCCTAAGGAATCAGATGCCTGTGCATATTTTAAAACTGCAGTGTTCAATATTTAAGAAGTGTTTTGGAAAAAAAAAAACTGGGAAAAGGTAAGACTATCATAGGGAATAATTGAATTAACAAAAAGGTACATTTTGAAGTGGTAAAGGTGACACTGGTCATTACAGAGTTTTTCATTTATTCAAAATATCTAATAATATTTTCTATCTCCCATCTTCTCCTGCCTCCCAACTCCAAGAAAATAAGGATTTTTGAGTTGGTTGACTTGCATTTCTACTGCAGGTGACCTCCAGAATTCAGCACGATGTCTTAAAGATTGAAGACTAAAACAAAAACCGGCCTGTTGCTTTGATAGTCAACAAGGCATATTAGCCTGCGATTTTAAGTTAGTTCGTTGTTGAGTGGATGTGAGCTGAGTACTGGAGTAGGAAGATGAAGACTCATGACTGTCCAGGTAAAATGAACATGAGACTTTTGGCATGTAAAGCTCTGTGGATTAAAGAGTTCAAAGGTATGTACTAAGTAGAATTCTACATGAATAAAAGTAGCAGTTTTCAAATTTTTCATTCTACAACCCTAGAAGACTTCTTTGATAGTCCTATGTATGTCATCACCTCTAAAGAGTACAATGTATGTACATGCACACACACAATCCATCTTTCTATCTCTATCTCCTCTTGTCGACTGGAAAACCAGATGAATGGAGTGCAGAGAGAAGAGGGCCAGCTTGCTATTTGGAATTCCAAAGAGCAGTATATCAGAGGACGCTCTATTTAAGAAACACGAGCTTATTTTTTTGAAGTAGCAACAAGGTTCATGGACAATGTCACAGATAATGCAAGCAGAAGCTCAAGTTCTGCTGAAGAAAAGCACAAGTTTGAAGAGAGGCCTCATTACACAGTTTAGTCCCTAGCTTCAGTTGCCCTTCAGTGCTCAGGCAATGATCCCGCCTTCCTTATTTCAGAACAGATTTGGGCTACCAAGCATGTGATATCCATCCCCACATCTAGTGACCCATCTGCACAAGTGCCCAGCTCCATAAGATTTTCTTCCAGTCTCAAATGGCATTATTCCGTAGTAATTCTCTTCACCTCTTAGTTTTAAAGGTTTCCTCTTTATTCACACCTTTTCAGCAGCTAAAAGTATGCTTTAGAGAATGAATAAATGAATCAATCCATTAATTAAATGAAACACTCAACCTTGAGACTATATCAGACTATATCAGACTACTAATTACTAATATTTTCCTATTGTAAAGAAGCTGCTAGGAAGATTATTTTATATGACTATCTCCACTTCCTTATCTTCCATTTATTTTTAACCCTCCATAATCTGACTTTCTTCCACAATTTATTCCACAGAAACTGCTCTAGCAAATACCACCAATTCCTAATTTTCAGTCTTTATGTATTTGAAGTCTAATTGCATTTTCACACAGCTGATCAGTTTCTTCTAGAAACTCTCATATCCCTAGGCTTTTCTAACAGTATTTGTCCTGATTCTGCTTTTCTGTTTCTAATTGTTTCCTCTCAAATTCTTTTGTGGGTTGCTCTTCTTCCGCTTACCCTTCATGTTGATTTGAATAAAAATCTTGTCCTTGTCTTTTCTTGCTCTCTTTCTACCATTCTCCTTAAATGACAGAACCTATCTCCATTACTCCATCCATCCACCATAATATAAGCTGACAGTTTCCACAACCTTCTCCTATAACTCCAGCTTTGTTTACAGATACTTCCTTGTCAGATGTGACACAAATTCAACATTTACCAAGCTCAACTCATTTTCTTTCCCACAAACTCTTCTCTTCCTCCTGAATTGCTTAGAAAGTAATATTATCACCTACCCAATAACCTAATCAGAAACCTGGCAGGTACCTTAAACTTCATGTCCTCTTTCTTTCCTAATAAATCCCCAAGTTTTATTGATTCTATATCCTGATGCCTCCTATAGTCCTCACTTCCTCTCAATTTGTACTACCATTGCTCCATTGGTTCTTATCTCACCAAATATACAATATCCTCCTGACTTCCATTATTCTCCTATCCTCCAATTGTTTCCCAGGTAATCTAAATCTCATAGCTCATCAAATCATTCACAACTTAAAATCCTTCTGTGAGTTCTTCATTACCTACAAGATAACTCCTTGGCAATGCATAGAAGATCGTCTGTCATTCCAATGGTTTCTCATTCCATACTTCTCTCCTCCTCAAGTCACCTTCCAGGCTTCACATACTCCCATGCTTTCTATGCTACTGGCAAACGCTTTACTTCCATTCCCACATGTGGAATGCCCTTTTTTCCACTGACCATTGTCTTCCTGTGTGGTCTACTCATCTTTTAAGATTCCCCTCCACCATCAGTTACTTAAAAATAAAAACAAAAACAAAATAATCACTAAACCCTTGTACAGAAATTGCAGTCCTCTAAGAAGTAACCTAGATATCACCAGGGGTCTCGTTAGAAATGCAGGATTTCAGGCCCCACCCCAAGGCTATTGAACCAGAATCTGCATTTTAATAAGATTCTCAGGCAAAGTGATGTGCATTGAAGTTTGAGAAGCCTTTTTGTAGGAAGAAGTTGTTATTCTCATCTCCTTTATTATGTATCTATTACATTCCAGGCACCATGCATTTGCTCATTTAATCTTTACAACATCCGCTAGAAACAGGAATTATCATGCACTATTTACAGATTAGAAATTAAAGATGCTTAAGGTATAATCACATAGCTACAAAGTCTTAGACCTGGGATTTTTAACCTACTGCTGTCTTGAGTGCATAGTCCATGCTCTTTGTTCATTCCAAGACACTCTCTAATATGACGGAATTTAAGTTGTTTTCATGTGTGTCTACTCTACTGGAGGTACCTGTTATCAAGGTCACTGATATTAAATGAGTAAAATTACTATGAAGAAGTAGAATATCAAATGGCTGAGATAAGGGATGTGGGAGGAAGTAGGAGGAGAGAGAACTGTTGGGGAGATCCTAGAATAACTGCATGAAATCCAGTTCATTTTTGTGACTTCTCTCAGTTTATAACATCTGAGAGTAAAGAAAGCAATTTAGCCTCTGAATTTACTTTGCACATCAAACTTTTAAATCCATTGTATGGCCCCAAATCGCTTTCTCAGACACAAGTGATAGACCCTGAAATGGACTAAATATTTGTACCTTCTACCTCTCTCCCCTGTACCTTCCCTCTC